GCTGTAACATGTTGCTATAGTACACAGTCACAGCCAATATACATGGATTTATCACACAGACATAGCTGTAACATGTTGCTAATAGTACACAGTCACAGCCAGTATACATGGATATATCACACAGCCAAATGCTTGATTCACTTGAAATTGTTTTTTTTCATTATGGTAAATGATCAGAAAACGCGTTATTGTCATTCAATGTATGTCTATCACAGTCACCAGGGTTTACATGTTATATCATACAGTCACCAGGGCTTACATGCTATATCACACAGTCACCAGGGTTTACATGCCATATCATAAAGTCACTAACTAGGGTTTACAATAGGGTTTCTACATGTTGGAATATCTAACACAGTAAAACCACATCAAATCAGTCAGTCAGTTATATATGAGATTTCAGTTAGTGACATATATACATTATTGTCAGGTTATTTCCCACTTGAGTATCTGCCGTACTTGAGGATTTGTTGTTGTGTTGCCTATTTGTATGGATGCCTCCCTCTGTACTTCATCCAGTGATTGTGTTGCTGCTTGGATAATCACCTTCCACAGTGAGGCAGAATCATCTCACATGGACAGTCTCTGAAGTATTCTGCCTCAGTCCTTTTCATTTCCATGCCATGGCAATATCTTATTTTCTCAAAGAGAAAAGTCCAAAAAAATAATGTCTTTGGAAGTGGAAAGTTTCAATCAGTATCTGCAAGCTTGTGTCCAGTGGTGCTGCCTCTGAACTGTGTACATTGATTTTCAGTTTGGTCCCAGTAGGAACAGATGCAGAGGCTTCCTATGCTGCTCCTATGTCTGTGTTTTAATTACATTATTTACCTTCAATTACAAATGTGAATTGCTGGGATAGATTGCATCCCTGATTTGAAAGAATCATGTGATGGTTGGTTTGAATCCAAGATTCGTCCTGATTTTGTTGTGTTGGTTTGGCAGCACCATAGCCCACCTGTAAAGTCATTTATATCACTTCAGTATTTCCTCTCACAATGGGAGTGGTAGGGTAGCCTAGTGGTTATAGCGTTCACTAGTCACGCTGAGTACCCATGTTCGATTCCCCTCATGGGTACAATGTGTGAAGCCCATTTCTAGTGTCCAATACATTTTATTGCTAGAATATTGCTAAAAGCAGTGTAAAACTAAACTCACTCACTCACTCACTCACTCACTCACTTCACATTGTATTTGACACTCCATGGTGTAACTCAAATACTGGAACAGTTAGAAACCTAAACGTCTCACCCACTTGCATTCAAGGCATATCGGAGACAGTCATGTGACGCATGGGTCACCTGATCACCTGATATTTTTACTGTCTGGTTAACCACAACACAATTTGATTACAGAGTGCCATCTAGAAAGTAGTAAAAAATGTGGATCAGGGTGGCTGAGTGGGTTAGGCAACTGACTTTGTGTGCTGGCGATTAGGTGCCTGACACTGAGGGTGCAGGTTTGAATCCCGGATGGACTCAACCCAACAAAAGTACTAGAATCTGTACTTTACTGAGAAAGTGTAATCCCAAATATAACATATGTTACACAACACAATTTGATTGACAAAATTGTGTCCTTTAGTTGTACCAGAACCTATAATTCTGTCAAATCTTCTACTTCTATTCTTACTCTTTGTTCTTGGTCTCTTTGATGTTAATGTCTGAAGAAGCCCAATTTAGATAGAAGAGGATTCCCATTGAGTCGTCATCAAACCAAGGGTCCTCCTTCATCTTGAATTTGCTGAATTTTCAAGCTGCAGTAGAGGTCAGGGACACCATCTTGGAAATCTCACAAACACCACCTACGACAAAACTTACCAAGAACTTCTTAAGTGTTAAGTCAACAAGGAACATCAAGGTAACTGAATCTAAATTGTAGATGTAACTATTTTCACTACATGACTCAGATATGGAACTCAGAAGACAAGCTCAACTACACATGAACGAAGTGAGATGTTTTTGGTCTTGATAAGCTGAAGAGCTAGATGTTGACTGGCAGTACTGTTATCTTGACAACTGGTTGAGTGTAGTTGACAAGACTTCTGTTGAAAATCCTGGCAATTAATTTGGTGAATTGCAGCCAAAATACGGGATTTATTGCACTGATGTAATGGAGGAAGTACACTAAGAATTAGTAACAGTGATGCCTGTTTTTCCTGTAATCATAAGTTCAAATCCTATATTCAACCAAAATATAACTGTCTGCACCAAAATATTTAATGGTATCATGGTAAGAGCTGGATCACTTCATGCTAATGGTATCAGAGCTGGATCACTTCATGCTAATGGTATCATGGTAAGAGCTGGATCACTTTATGCTTATAGTATCATGGTAAGAGCTGGATCACTTCATGCTAATGGTATCATGGTAAGAGCTGGATCACTTCATACTAATGGTATCATGGTAAGAGCTGGATCACTTCATACTAATGGTATCATGGTAAGAGCTGGATCACTTCATGCTAATGGTTGGTGTAACGGATATTGAACTTGGTACTTCTACATGTTTGACATTGGCACAGGTTTGATGTAGTCTGCTTTATAAAAGACGTTTTCCATGAAAAAATTACCCAAAACAGATTAAAGAATAAACAGTGCTGTGTGCATCTATGTTCTGAAATATCAAAACCATTTTGAATGAAGTTTAATAAGCAATATTATGACTGCTTGCTGTGAGGGTCCAACAGAGAGATGACTACCCCATCAGAGCACCCAGATAACTTTGCATGATGCTTTTTATGTGATCTTGTCCACCAGTCCTACGTGTTTCTGTCAGCCTAGTTGAACCATCAACATCCACCCATACACCATTCCATCCCTCACGTCTCCCATCTGAGCAAGAATCTTTTCTTTCAGTTCAGATTATGACGTTCTTGTCCACCGGTAAACCGTACTCTCTCTTGCGTCTGCCAGCTATCACACGTAGAGCCTAGCTGGGTTTTACAGGCAGTAACACCAGTTTTATCTTGTCAATTCACCTTTCAATTTGTCAGTTTGCTCATTTTGGCGTGTACACATCCATTTGTTCACTCTGCATGATTGATCAGTGTATGGGCGGTCATTATGACAGGGTTTTATGTGTTTCTGGCTGTTGCAGATGAATTACTCCATTTAGCTCAGCGCTGTGTGCTGTGTTGGTCGAACCAGCAGTTTTCATCACAGAGTAATATTCTTGTGGGGTTGTCCACCATACACAACAATGTGTCAGTCTCATTCCATGTTCCAAAGAGGGGATGAAACATGTTGCCATGTTTATGGTGCAGAACTAATCCTGTTTGCTTAATTCATTTTCAAAATGTTCAAAAGGTGGAAAGATAATCACATGTTAATTATCACGACTTCATCATTGATAGCTGATCTGTACTGGGACAACATTAGTGTCTTGATCGAAACCATGTTGCTATTGTCATGGTGACATCTGGCCACCTTATTGTCATTGTCACAGTGACATCTGGCCACCTTATTGTCATTGTCATAGTGACATCTGGGCACCTTATTGTCATTGTCACAGTGACATCTGGCCACATTATTGTCATTGTCATAGTGACATCTGGACACCTTATTATCATTGTCATAGTGACATCTGGCCACCTTATTGTCATTGTCGCAGTGACATCTGGACACCTTATTGTCATTGTTACAGTTACACCTGGCCACATTATTGTCATTGTCACAGTGACATCTGGCCACCTGACATTGTCATTGTCATTGTCATAGTGACATCTGGCCACCTTATTGTCATTGTCACAGTGACATCTGGACACCTTATTGTCATAGTGACATCTGGTTATTGTCATAGTGACATCTGGACATTATTGTCATTGTCACAGTGACATCTGGACACCTTATTGTCATTGTCACAGTGACATCTGGACACCTTATTGTCATTGTCACAGTGACATCTGGACACTTATTGTCATTGTCACAGTGACATCTGGACACCTTTTTGTTCAGGTCACTGTCACCATGTAAGCTGTAGGGGCATTGTCTTGCCTCCTTATTGCTGTTGTCATGGTGATCTTCACCATCTTGATCATTGTTAGTAGGTACAGGGGCATTGTCTCAGTACCATATCGCCATTGTCATGGTGATCTGGCAACATCCCCATGAAGTTGTTCCAAAACACTATGAGTCTCAGGGGGAAGTTAAAAGCTGATTAGTTTCTGAGAGTAAAGTTACATTCAAATCTTCAGTCCACAGTAACATGTTTACCAAGTGGCAGGCACGTTGCTAATGGACATTGATCCCGAGGAATTCTCTATAATTACCTGTTTCAAGACAAGGTTGTTTTTACAATGGGAGAATATGAGTAGATAAAAGCTGCCATAAAGATACTGAGAAACTCCAGTGAAGCCCAGTTTTTGTCCCATTCCCATCTCGAGCTGATACAATGCTTATGAGTCAGTCAAAGAAATACTGCGACATCATGATGCATACCCATACTCATCTTGATGTTTTTGTTAAGTGTCAGTAACATGATTGTTTGCTAAGCATCATTTATGAGATCAGGATCAATGCAGTTTGATAGAGGATACAGCATCAAAGTGTCCATGCATCTCTTCAGAACAGGAACGACATGATTGTAATGTTTTAAACTTCACTTTGAAAATATTATGATGACCAGTTTCTTTAGTGCGGCATGAATGGGTTGTTTTTTTCCTGCAGTGAGATATGCACTTAAGATATTAAATTTGTCATGTGGCATATCTGTTGCACTAAACTTAAATTTGTGTTTGGCATATTTTCATAAATATTGCGGAGATTGGCTTGGTATCTGGAACAGGAAGAATCCTTTAAACTGATCAAAGATCCCCTCAACCAATACTTGTCAGAGATACCCCTGCAACATATACTGGTGAGAGGACGTTATCTAATGATTGGGTGGCATCTGGAACAGGAAGAATCCTTTAAACTGATCAAAGATCCCCTCAACCAATACTTGTCAGAGATACCCCTGCAACATATACTGGTGAGAGGACGTTATCTAATGATTGGGTGGTCAGACCAGGTAACTTGTGTGCCATCAACTACTTTGACAGCTGATCAAAGATCCTCTCAACAACTGAATGACAGCTTGTCAGAATACTCCAGCATAGTCAGACTGCCATCAGGGACAGCATTTGTGTGTGAGGTCAGACTCAGGGACTTTTGCCATCAACTACTTTGACTCCAGTATGAATCACTGGATTGTCTGATTAGTCAGACTCAGGATCAACTCAGACTCAGTGACTTGTGTGCCATCAACTACTTTGACAGCATTTATTGTTACTCACAGTATGAATCACTGGATTGTCTGGTCCCGACTCCAGCATAGTCAGTATTAGAAACCATCAACTACTTGTGTGCCATTTATTGTTACTCAGTATGAATCACTGGATTGTTCCCGATTCCCATAGTCAGACTCAGGGATGAATCACTTTGGCATTTATTGTTACCCACAGTATGAATCACTGGATTGTCTGGTCCCGACTCCAGCATAGTCAGACTCAGGGACTTGTGATGCCATGCTGACAGCATTTATTGCAGTATGAATCAAGTCTGGTCCGACTCCAGCATAGTCAGACTATCATTTAAAGGCCACTATCATATTGCTGGGGTGTTGATGATTGAGCATCAGAAAACAAAGTTCAACAGTTGCAGCTTGTACAGATCTCTGCCATTGTACCCTGTCATGGCTACAGTGGTTGGCCGGGGTTAAATCTTGTTAACGTAATCACTCTTGTGGATTCTATTTATCCAACCTTTATGGAACCTGTGTGTTTTCAATCACCTCCTGATCTCAGTCTCTGGTGTTACACAATTACTTCATTCACAGGATCTGTGTCTCCATACTTACAGCCATCCCTTCACCTTGGCTAAATGTCAAGCTTCTAAAGTGTTGGTTTTATTTCCAGATTGTTTGCCAGTGCTGTGTGCACTTTGCCCATGTGACTGTTCTCTGGCAGGGGTCGTCACTGGTGGTCCTTTTCAGAATAGTGACTGTCAACACTGGCTATGTTATCAATAGTGAAAAAATAGTGAACGTCATCAGTTCTCGATCTATAATAGATGGTGATTGTCATCAGTGGCAGTCCCAACCAGAATGGTGAACGTCATCACTTCTCGATCTATAATAGATGGTGATTGTCATCAGTGGCGGTCCCAACCAGAATGGTGAACGTCATCACTTCTCGATCTATAATAGATGGTGATTGTCATCAGTGGCAGTCCCAACCAGAATGGTGAACGTCATCACTTCTCGATCTATAATAGATGGTGATTGTCATCAGTGGCAGTCCCAACCAGAATGGTGAACGTCATCACTTCTCGATCTATAATAGATGGTGATTGTCATCAGTGACAGTCCCAACCAGAATGGTAAACGTCATCACTTCTTGATCTATAATAGATGGTGATTGTCATCAGTGGCGGTACCAACAAGAATGGTGAATGTCATCACTTCTCGATCTATAATAGATGGTGATTGTCATCAGTGGCGGTACCAACAAGAATGGTGAATGTCATCACTGTTGGACATATTCCAGAATGGTGACTGTCATCATTGATGGTCCTATTCCAATGAGTGACTGTTTCATGGTCCAGTTCAAATGAGTGAACAGTTCCAGAAGGTGACTTTCACCAGCAGTCATTGATCTGCAAAGTGGCTAATTGTGCCTTTTTACAAATAAATTGAAATAAAAACACAAAGTTTCAAACAGTATTAAGCTCTCACACCAGTTCAGTAGTGTATGGTTGTTTATGGGTTTCTGGCCTCCTCAAAGGTGATATTGACTTTTAACAAGGGAGTCCATTATGATGGACAAACGAAGGGAGCCCCAGGCAAGTCACCACCTTATACCATGTGGAATACAAGAATCCAACAGCCAAGGTTAGCCAATGGACATAACACACCCCAGTTGTAAAATGATAGTTAATCTTTACTTGCTATCTACGTTCCAGATTGTTTGTACAGGAAGGGGAATTGAGGTTTGTGTCTGTTTATAATCTGGCATGAAAGACTGTGAATGTGAAACTGTAAACGTTTTTATGAAGAAGGCTCCTGTTCTTCTTAATGCTGAGATAGCTATTAATTAAAGCACCCATCACCCCAAAGGCCTAGACTTGGTTTCCACATGAGCCCTTGGTCTTTATTGGTGTCATATAATGACCAGGTCAGACTATATAGAGATGTGTGTAAGGAGGCTGACAGTTCCTGCCTGGGACACTGAGAATGTTGACAATGTGGAGACAGAGAGCAATGTGTCTGTGGTGACTTGTTCCCTGATTATTGCACAAACAGGGAATACCTGGTCTGTGGTGCCAACCATACAGCAATGCACTCAAGTGTATGGGGGAGGAGTGTCCAGGATTAGCTACTGTTGATAATTACCCATGATGTACTGTAGACCAGACTCGGGATGGGTGAGGGTAATGATACACATGGAACACTGTGTAATGATGCTGGTGGAGCACAGCTATACTCACAAAGACGAAGAACAAGATTGAACATTTTCTTACATGATTTCGCTGTAACATCAGTGTCCAAGTCAACTTTGAAGTTTGGAGATGAAATGGTTTAAGTGATTTAGTCATGAGAATGGTGTACATGCTGGGTGAGTGAGTGAATTGTGTTTGATGCTCATTGATAAGTACTTTAGTTCTATCATGACATTAGTTTGAGAAGAGAGCCGTTGTGGGGTGCAGGTAGTACACAGGTATCACCTTATCATCTTTACCCAATCAGTGTTAGATTCACTCTGTGGTCACAGACATCGGTCACCTTGATGATAGCTGCCATCTTGACCCAGTCAGTATTATATTCACTATGTAGTCACAGACATCGGTCACCTTGATGATAGCTGCCATCTTGACCCAATCAGTATTATATTTACTATGTGGCCACAGACTCTGTGGCTTAGTGGATTGTGCATCTTTATATCCTGACAACCCGGGTTAAATCACTGGCTTGTCTGGTCTAGATTCCATTATTTACTGGTCTCCATGAAATAATGCTGACCGTGATAAATGCAACAGACGGTGATTGATCCTGAACTGGCTCAACCTGGAGCCTGTATTCTGGCATCACATTCTGTGTGACCTTTAAAGACTATTGCCTTTAACTTTTTAGATTACAATTTCACCGAAGGAGGTCTCATCCATCTTCAGGAACAATATATTCAGTAAAAGGCTGATAAACCCTGTCTCCCCACTCTTCCTTAGCAACTTCCTGTTGAATTAAATAAACATTTCATGTGTTGAAGTACAGCTCACATTGGTTCTCACAGCTATCCTAGTCCTAGGAGATGACAATAGAAAACTAATTGAAGAAAACAATCTCGTTATGGACAACCATCTAATGATTCTACAATTCCACGGAGCAGTGAAAAATGTTCCCGTGATGGCTGTACAAACAAGTGCTGGAACTAGCCTGGTGGTCATGGGGCTCCTGGTGTGCGAAGCAGAGGGTTTTTGTCGGGATGGTTGAGGAACGCCAGAGAAAGTTAAATTCGTGCCGAGATCAGCTGCAGCTGGTGTTGAATCAATACTAACTCCATTTAAACATGGATGGGTTGAAATTATGCTGAGAGATTTCAAGAAATGTTTTAAGTTGGGTTTAGCAGTGGCAGTAGTGTGGTTGACTGGCAGTTCCTCTCTGTGGTGTGGCATTGCTTTCCTAAAGTGAGTACTGAAGAAATGCTGGGGTCAAATGTATACATACCTCTTGAGTGAGTGAGTAAATATGTTCAGGCTGCATCAACAATATTTCAGTTATATCACTGTTGCATGTGAGATATGGAGTTGTTTTTCCTGGATATTATTCAGGGGTTTTAGGTGCATATTGATTGGTTATGGAAATGTATTCTGGTTGCTGATTGGTCACATCTGACAACTGATCAGAAGGTTATGGTCAGGATTAGCTGCTCACATCATCCCCTTAACGTCCATAACATCATCAAACATATCCACAAATCATCAGATCAATGTGAGTTATCCTTTCATGCTGATCTTGACAACAAGCAGTCCAAGCTGTATTTCTCTGTTCAGCTGCTGATACAGAGATGAAAGATGGTTGCTATTCAGTAGTTCCAGATTAGCCATGCGATGAAGTCTTACTCACAGACTGGAGGGCATCTTCCCTTGTTTGATGGTGTTAGTAGGACCATGTCTGATGTGGCCTTGTGTTCCTGGTCAGGCACAGAGATCACACTGGAGGGAAACTTGTTGAGTTCTCTTTAGCAGCTTGAGGAGGTTTGGGCCACTGGCAACAACATGTTATCAGGAAAGGTTTCCAAGTAAAGAAGCACAAGTCTTGTCAACTGATGACCCGTGGGCATCTTCACAAGCACCATCCACCCATTTCCCTCCATCTACCTATTCCTCTCACCATACACCCATTCCCCTCCATCTACCTATTCCTCTCACCATACACCCATTCCCCTCCATCTACCTATTCCACTCACCATACACCCATTCCTCTATCTATCTTCTATCACCTTCAATCCACCCATTACTCTATCCATGCAATATTACATCCATCCACCCCTGAATCTGAATCCACCTCCTTCACCATCTACCCTTTTTCTCTCATTAACCCAGTCATCCTTCCCATCTCACCCTTCCTTCATACCAATGCACACACAAACACACACTCGACCCCCTCCCATTCCCCTCCACCTGTACTGGGGAGTATCCTCCCATGCCCGTCCACCTGTACTGGAGAGTATCCTCCCATGCCCCTCCACCTGTACTGGGGAGTATCCTCCCATGCCCCTCCACCTGTACTGGGGAGTATCCTCCCATTCCCCTCCACCTGTACTGGGGAGTATCCTCCTATTGCCCTCCACCTGTACTGGAGAGTATCCTCCCATTCCCTCCACCTGTACTGGGGTGTATCCTCCCATTCCCTCCACCTGTACTGGAGAGTATCCTCCCATGCCCCTCCACCTGTACTGGGGAGTATCCTCCCATTCCCCTCCACCTGTACTGGGGAGTATCCTCCCATTGCCCTCCACCTGTACTGGAGAGTATCCTCCCATTCCTCCACCTGTACTGGAGAGTATCCTCCCATTCCCCCTCCACCTGTACTGGGGTGTATCATCCCATTTCCCTCCACCTGTACTGAGAGTATCCTCCCATGCCCCCCTCCACCTGTACTGGGGTGTATCATCCCATTTCCCTACACCTGTACTGGAGTGTATCCTCCCATTCCCCTCCACCTGTACTGGGATGTATCCTCCCATTCCCTCCACCTGTACTGGAGAGTATCCTCCCATGCCCCTCCACCTGTACTGGGGGAGTATCCTCCCATTCCCCTCCACCTGTACTGGGGAGTATCCTCCCATTCCCCTCCACCTGTACTGGAGAGTATCCTCCCATTCCCTCCACCTGTACTGGGGTGTATCATCCCATTTCCCTACACCTGTACTGGAGAGTATCCTCCTATTCCCCTCCACCTGTACTGAGGAGTATCCTCCCATTCTCCTCCACCTGTACTGGGGAGTATCCTCCCATGCCCCTCCACCTGTACTGGGGTGTATCCTCCCATTCCCTCCACCTGTACTGGGAGTATCCTCCCAATTCCCTCCACCTGTACTGGGGAGTATCCCCATTCCCTCCACCTGTACTGAGGAGTATCCTCCCATGCCGGGGCGGTGGGGTAGCCTAGTGGTTAAAGCTGTTGGCTCGTCACGCTGAACCCGGGTTCGATTCCCCCACATGGGCACAATGTGTTAAGTCCATTTCTGGTGTCCCCCTCCGTGATATTGCTGGAATATTGCTAAAAGCGGCGTAAAACTAAACTCAGTCAGTCAGTCAGTCCTCCCATGCCCTCCACCTGTACTGGGGAGTATCCTCCCATGCCCCTCCACCTGTACTGGGGAGTATCCTCCGATTCCCTCCACCTGTACTGGGGAGTATCCTCCCATTCCCTCCACCTGTACTGGGAGTATCCTCCCATTCCCTCCACCTGTACTGGGAGTATCCCCCCATTCCTCCACCTGTACTGGGAGTATCCTCCCATTCCCCTCCACCTGTACTGGGGAGTATCCTCCCATTCCCCTCCACCTGTACTGGGGAGTATCCTCCCATTCCCCTCCACCTGTACTGGGGAGTATCCTCCCATTCCCCTCCACCTGTACTGGGGAGTATCCTCCCATTCCCCTCCACCTGTACTGGGGAGTATCCTCCCATTCCCCTCCACCTGTACTGGGAGTATCCTCCCATTCCCTCCACCTGTACTGGGGAGTATCCTCCCATTCCCTCCACCTGTACTGGGGAGTATCCTCCCATTCCCTCCACCTGTACTGGGGAGTATCCTCCCATGCCCCTCCACCTGTACTGGGAGTATCCTCCGATTCCCTCCACCTGTACTGGGGAGTATCCTCCCATGCCCTCCACTTGTACTGGGGAGTATCTTCCCATGCCCCTCCACCTGTACTGGGAGTATCCTCCCATTCCCGTCCACCTGTACTGGGAGTATCCTCCCATTCTCCTCCACCTGTACTGGGAGTATCCTCCCATGCCCCTCCACCTGTACTGGGGAGTATCCTCCCATCCCCTCCACCTGTACTGGGGAGTATCCTCCCATTCCCCTCCACCTGTACTGGGGAGTATCCTCCCATTCCCCTCCACCTGTACTGGGGAGTATCCTCCCATTCCCCTCCACCTGTACTGGGAGTATCCTCCCATTCCCCTCCACCTGTACTGGGGAGTATCCTCCCATTCCCCTCCACCTGTACTGGGAGTATCCTCCCATTCCCCTCCACCTGTACTGGGGAGTATCCTCCCATTCCCCTCCACCTGTACTGGGGAGTATCCTCCCATTCCCCTCCACCTGTACTGGGGAGTATCCTCCGATTCCCCTCCACCTGTACTGGGGAGTATCCCCTGCGGCTGTCACCATGTTTATACCATCAACCTGACTTTGTTGAGTGGAGGTGGCAGTGATTGTTACACATTGTGTTGCTCTCACCTCTCCGTGGTGCTGTATGGCTGCAGGGGAGACGTTCCACTGAAATTTGCGTGCTGGTAATCAAACAGAAGGTGATTGTTTGATTGGCTACTCCAATAACTCATGAATAATAGAGGCTTGGCTGGCAGCAGCGGTTATTGCATAACACATGCATCACAGAGCAATTACCTGGAGTATTAAGCTCTATCTGAAATCCAAATATACCCTGCCAACAGATCTTGTTACACAAGCTGGTCTAATGAGGCATAGGTATTGGAAACACTGACAGGAAACTAAAACTGTGTCTTTGGAATCAGTTTCTGTTCCATTTGTATGTTCAAGTAATGTCTTGGTTATGTCCAGCAAGTGTGACAGACTGCCATGACATCCCTGATGGGGCTTTTCCAGGGCGAAGAGCACCTGTTCCA